GTCACACTGGGGTTATGAGACCCACAGCCAATTTCTGCCGACTTTATATTCTGTTTCCTAACACTGAAAAGCTGTGGCCTGTTTATTGATTGGGGCACTGAGTAGCGTTTGAACTTGGGATTTTAGCCGACTGTGTTTTGTCAGCCTGATTATTTTATTTATGTTTTACACAGACTGGCCATTGGATAGGAAAACTTGCAATGCAAGTTGTGCCTTTTTCAAAGTGCTTTGGAGAGCTCGTATAAATAGACAGAGAGAGAGAGAGAGAAAGAACTGGAATAACATACCCACCAAGCTCTGCGACTTCCGAGACATCTGTGTGGATGTTTTTGAAAAACCTGGGAAAGGCTCTCTTGCAAATTAATGAACAAAGGTCCTTTGAAGCTATGATTTATATTGTGACAGCTAAAAGTGATGGATTTAAAAGATTCATATGGCAATTAAGCTGTACCTGCCTTTGACCTTTAAAAAAAAAGGGGGGGGGGAAAAAAAGGGCTTTTTTGGTGGGGGTTTTTCTGGTGATCTACAGTAATGACTTGATTCAACGACTCATTATTGACCTCCTAATATGTGTCCAGCCCTGTGATTAGTGTGTGCTGTATTAAATAAGACCTAAGGTTCACAGTCCAGCAGAAAATAAAGAGCTTAATGAGTGCTGTGGTGTGCTTTACACAGGATGCTGTGAGCAGGTAGTGCAGTATGCAGGATGCTGTAGTTTGTGCCATGTGCAGGTAGTGCTGTATGCTGGGTGTTTGGGGAGAGTCAGGAAAGGCCTTACACAGAATCAGTGATACCCGATATGTATCCTGAAGAATTAGCACCTGTAAAATTGCAACGGGACAAGGCAGAGGTCAGCTATCCAGCTTATAAGAGTGGATTGTGTCTTCTGTGATCTCAGCTATCAGATAGCTGCCAGCTTCTGAACATCCCACTAAAATGGAATATTGCAACAAATAGAAACACCCTTTTCCTTGGCGTAATCCCTTACTATCCCTTGACCCAACTTGAAACTCAATAATTTATTATGTTCTTTGTTCTTCATAAGAAAATTTATTTGACTTAAAATATTACACTTGAAAATCTTATCCAATTTTTCTGTTATTTAAAGCAGTCTTTCGACTGATCTGAAATGCAATCATATAGTAAAAGCTTAATGAGGAGGAGGAGGAGGAGTTAGTTGGAATAATTAACATCTCTCGAGTCCATACTGTTTTGTTCTAGGTTCTGTGCTAATTGTGTAGCTTGCATTATTTTATTTATTTTCTGCCTTTCCTAGTAGAATATATAAACTCCATGAGAATAAATGGTATGTCTCATCAAGTCGTTATTTATCTAGTGACTAGTCCAGTGCATAGCACGTATTAGGAGATCAGTAAGTATATGTTGATGGATTATCCAAACAACCCCATATGGGAATTTGATCATATAATGATCAATTAATTTGTCCAGGGTCACACTGTCAGTGTGTGACAATCTTAGATTTGAATGAAGATTTATTTGATCAAATGAACATTTTGTTCTTATTTAATATATGCCAGGCATTGGGTTGGATAAATAGTATGAATCGCAAGACTTGCATGAATTTTTAACCTAATACAATAATTTTAAACCAATGTTTGGGCTTTGTTCTGTTGCTCTTTTGCCTGACATTAAGAATCCTAAGCCTCTCTCCTTAACAGCACACTTAGCCCACACTCTACAGATCCCTACCACCTGAGAAAATGTTGACCAACTTGAATTTCTGTTATTTATATTATCAAAACTGTGTTTCTTTATGACTTTCCAAATTTAATATTGCAGTGCTGAAAATGGTCTTTCAGATGTCATGTGACCCCACAAGACTCTGAAATCTTTTCTGCCCTTGAAACTCATCAGTTTAATTCAGACGCCACACTTAAAACTTTCAGTATGGATTTCACGACAGTGGTTGAAAGAAAGCTTCTCTTGCAATGGCTAAATGAGAATGTAGTTATACAGATTATTGCAAGTTGTTCAAATAAAAATAGAGTTGGCCCTAAATTACCTTGCTTATGGTCTATTTCTCAATCCCTCCAAAACAATGAAAGGGAATACAAGAATTATTTTACTTATGTATCATACCTGTGGATTACCTTTTAATTACGTCTTACTTAGGCTAAAATTTACATTAACCTGAGTTCCTTAAACATACTCTGTTTGAAAGAGTAGAAAACATCAGAGAGTCACTTAAGGAAAGATGCCTACCAATTTAGGGTTAAACAAAAGTAGTGGGATGCTTTGCTGATCATGCACATATGGATATTATTTTTCACATAATGAACTTCATAGCACTATTACATAGGGGCTCTAGTTTTATGAAAATATTTCTACCTTACTAATTTTTTTGCACACTGTATCTTCTTTCCTCTTTACCTCTCTATCTTTTTCATTCTTGGTGGATTGAATCACATAAATGTCTGTTTATATGCCTGCTTCCCAATAGATAGTAAGCTGCTTATTATCAGAGGCTATGTCTCATTTGATTTTGTAACCCATTGTAACTGTGCAAAGAGAAAATTTACATAGGTTAACAGCGCAAATTTCACAATTAATCTATTGGCAAAACTGGTGAAGTAGACTGGATGCTAGTCAAAAACTTCAAAAAATGTATATACCCCATACCTTTCTACATCTAAAATATATATGAACCATTATATTGGCTTTAAGGAACTGCCAGAATGTCTAGGCATAAGACTAATCATTATTTTTAAAATATTGAACCAAAGTGGAAGAATATCAACTGCCATCCATTTTCAGACTCACCGCTATCCATCAGCAATCTCTCAATAGTTTTATTAGTGTCCAATTTTATTGATCCGTTATTAAAATAGAGTAAGTGTGATTGAAACTGACAGATTGGTAACTGGATCAGGTAATCTTCTGGCTCTGGTTTTGGCAACCTTAGTAAGTATCTTTTTGCACTGTGAACTGTAGAAAGCTCTTAGTGAAATTGCCAGTTATTGGGTTAATGGCAGAATATCATGAGCACATTCAGTGTCTTTTTAGAGAAATAAAATGTGCAATTGACGATCAAGTAGAATGTGTCAAGAAAAAAAACTACAATGCCTCTTTGGGGTTATAGTTGTGCTTTACTTAAATACTACATTCTAGCATATCCTTCACTGAAAGTTTTTCCAAAATCCCCCAAATATACATGACCCCCAAAATATACATATCACTGAAATGTGTGCATGATACAAAATTAACATTGATAATGGATTTACAGGAGGAATCAGTAATCATCGAAAGTGCTTTAAATTAGAAGTCACTTAAAAAAGATAATGATAAAAATAGTTTTGTCCCCAATCTGGGTTTTCTGGTTGTTCACCACTTCCTAGAACAGTGGTGCCTCCTGTAAACTCTTTCACCATAGACCAACTGAAGTTTGAAATACAATTTTTTATGTTTCTTTACATTGGAATAGGGGATGGGTTGATGTTTCAAAGTCTATTTGTTTTAAGATTCAACAGGAATATCATTTAACTGCTACTAGAGTGTGGGCAATACAGTTAAAATGAACCTTGAGTTACGACACTGAAATTAAGGGGAGAAAACACTTTATTTTATTGAAAATAAGTTTAAAAGAAAATTTTCTAGTAATACATCAAGGAGCTTTGGTAGCATAGTGAATTTTGAGCTGAATTGGTAACCACAGGTCAGTGGTTCGAATCTACTACCCGCTCCGTGAAAGAAAGATGAGGCTTTCTGCTTCCGTAAGATTACAGTCTCTATGAATTGGAACTGACTCCACAGCACATAACCACCACCATATAAAAGAAACATGTATTTAAAATGTTGTTGTTAAGTGCTATCGAGTCAGTTCTGACTCATAGCAACCCTATATGAGGTTTCCAAGGAGCAGCTGGTGACCTTGAACTTCTGACCTTGCAGCTCAAACCAACTTTGCGGTTCAAATCGACCTTGCAGTCCAGTGTATTAACCCACAACACCACACCAGGACTCCACTTAAATTGCAGATTGTTTGTCTCCAGACTTTTGTGTAAAGCAAGACAAGAACAAATTACAAAAATATAGGTCATTTTATTTTTTTGTTGTATCCTGGAGAAGTTTAGCATTCATGAAGTATGTATGTTTTAAGTTGTTGTTAAGTGCTGCCGAGTCAGTTCTTACTCATAGTAATCCTGTATAGTATTTCTGAGGAATGGCTGATAGGTTTGAACCACCAATCTTGTTCTTCACAGTCCAGTGCTTATCCTATAGCACCACACCAGGAGTCCTTTTAGTTGTTAGGGTCAGTTTAAAATTCAGAATTAAAGTTTTATTATACGAAGCTAGCATTAAAATTGCAGAACTAGATTTCCTTCACCAGAGTTTGTTTTTACTTAAAAGTGGTCAGTCAACTTTTGAACAACTTTCATGTACCTCCAAGGCATATCCAAATAAAAGTAATAGAAAATGTAAGCTGTGTTTCCCAGATTTTAACATGCACATGAATCCCCTGAGGATTTTGGCTAAAATTCAGGTCCTGAATAAATAGGGCTGCAGGAGGGCCCAAATTCTGCATTTCTAACAAGTGTCTAGAAGTTGCTGATACTATTGGTCTCTGGAACATACTTTGAGTAGCAAGGATGTAGAATACACTTACTAAACCTGGAAGTTGCGTTTATTTATAAATTGTAGTCATAAAGTCATGTTCACGTAAGATATATTGGAACCTGTGGAAGTTTGTCAGCCTAGAAATAAGATGACGTTGATAGAGATTTCATAAATGTGAGAGCAAAGTCTATGGGGTGATAACTTTAAACTGGTCTCAATGGGCTTTCTACTTAAATAAACATTTGATGATCTATGTAGTGAAGTTTAAGATGTTGAGGCTTTAGGCTAAAGTGTAAACAAAATGCATTCAGTATACTCAGTTGATTAAAAAATATTTGTATATCCAGTTCCCACAATTGCAGTATTTTCTGTGTTCCATCTTGTGCTGCTATGTATTACAAATGCTCTTCCCCCCCTTCATGCAGAGTATGATTTCTTCCATTGTGAACAGCACTTACTATGCAAATGTCTCAGCAGCAAAATGTCAAGAATTTGGAAGGTGGTACAAACATTTCAAGAAGACAAAAGATATGATGGGTAAGCAAAAAACCCTTGAAGCAGTGGCTACATACCATTACGTGTCATTTGGGGGTTTATCAAAGTCACATCTAAAGCCAGGTCTTTTGATTGCCCAATTAGAGATCAATTTAGAATGTTTCTTTGGGGGGTGGGGAGTGGGTATGAGTATAATGAGATAATTAAATTCAATAAATGTTTGTGTTTAAATCAGCCAAACTGACTTGGTTGTCAGACATGCAGGAAATCTAGGCGTGAGGAGGGGAGCTGTCATTTTTTAACATCTGAGTAAAGACCTAACCAGGCCTTGAATAACTAATATTAACTGATTCCTCACAGAGGTAAATATCAAACATTTAGGTTTTTGTTTTTGAGAGACAAAGTACCTATTTTCATTCCCAATTTTTTAAGGAAAAATATAGTTTCCACATTGGAAATCATGTGACTTTTATAGCACTAATCATATCCTCACCCCCACCCCACCCCCCCAAATGCATAAAGATATTGGTAAGTTTTGCTTTACCAGCCATATTTGGGGGGGGCGGGAGTTACATGGTTTTTAAACATTTAATCCTACTATTGCCCCCTGATATATATCCTACCTTAACATGTAATTTTAGATCAATATTTGTGACATAGGAAATGCATTAAAATTATCTGCAGTGTAAAATGACAGATAAAAGTTGTATGTTATACGTAAGCATTTTGATTATGACATTTTCTCCCTAATGAGTTTGTTAGTGTTTTCAAAAGGAGACACTGTGATTAAGGTTAATGTTTTAATTTCTATTAATGTTTCCTTTCCCATAGTAATACCTTCTAAACAATGTCTCTTAAAATAATATTAGAATAGAATGCTTAATATTTATGCCATTATGCCATGTTTTAAATCTATCTCTGTTTACCTCTGTTAAATTCATTTAACACTAATAACTTTTTCTAAAGGTTTTAAGAGGTAAGAGAGCCTGAAAGTTGAGCATGTTTTAGCTTGTAATACTTGAACAAAAACTATCCGTCTAACAAAACCGATTGCTTGCCTTTTATAGCATAAGGCTGTAATGAAGACAGTACATCATTTTTGGACTAATTGCTTGAATTACTAGTCTCTGTGAATGGCTCACTTGGGCTGATATCACTGGTAGAAACTGAAGGATTCTTCCCCAATTCTTAGTTATATTTTTCATATATCCATGACTACCGCAATTTGATAAAATCTTCTAAATATGAAACCAGAAAATTTAATGAAAAGAGATACAGTGATTAAACATGGAGCCTGCCAGTCAGTACCTGTGAAGATAGGGTATAGTATTTGGAGAGCGTTCCCTCTCTAACCTCCATGCTTAGCTTTTCCAGTCAAGAGTCAAACCAGTTTCTTCATTGCAACCACAAAGAATTTGACGCACGTAGAGCTGAGGCTTAGCCAATCCACATGAGTGATCTAGCCAAGAGAGAAGCATTCATCCTGGGTAGATGGGAACCAATTGCAAAATTGTCACACCATCACTCTGTACCAGAACAGCTCCCACCTCTTCCTCTCAAGATGGTTTTTAGCATGGTTATAGCCATGTCTTCTGGAAAAAATAATTGTATCTTAGCAATACTGGCTATGCCGACTTGCCACACAGTAAATTATTAGCTTCACTCTAAGAAATGTTTACAGGTGTACCTCCCTCCCATAGTAATTGGAATTAAATGAAATAAGCCCTATAAAAATGTTCAACACAGTGCCCAATATGCACATTGTTGTTGTTGTTGTTAAGTGCCGTCGAGTCGGTTCCGACCCATAGCGACCCTGTACAGGGTTTCCGAGGGTGTAAATCCTTACGGGAGTAGAAAGCCTCATCTTTCTCCCGCGGAGCAGCTGGTAGTTTCGAACTGCTGACCTTATGGTTCGCAGCCCAATTCGTAACCACTACGCTACCAGAGCACATAGTGGTTATTATTTATTATTATCATAGTTAGTCTTTTTTTATTATATTGAATCTTTGTAGTCACTGCAAGGTAAAAATTGAACAAACTTAACATTTTATATCTTCTCTTCTAAATCTGTTGCCAAGAGTAATAACAGTTAACGCTTATCAGGAAAAAATATTTGTAAATTTGTTTTTTTTTTTGGTTGGATACTTATTTTAGTTGAGTATTTTCTTAGCTCAGCTAACTGGTTCTAGTTGCCATTAAGCAAATGACATTCTTCTAAAGAAGCCATTTCTTTAAAATAAGCATCATTGCTTATAAGCCTTCTTGGAGTAATCAGTGAAAGTGAGTAACTTTCAGTTAAGTTGAACCCAGTTAAGTTGTTGCATTGTATTTGAAAAGAATTGAGTTTATGCATTAAATATAAGACACATTAATATAAATCAGATCAGTGGTATTTGTCTCTTTTCATACTGGGTGGAATTGTGCAGAGCCAGAAAAGAAAAATGTATGAGTTCCATCTTGAAATTCTCTTGGTTTAATAGGATCTCGGTTGCATCTTGTGCCCACTTCTCTTTTTACTTAGAAAGCAGGCAAAAATGCTTATTGATACTCACCAGTGTTGGCATAACCTGATTTTGCTTTCTGTCCACTTCAGTTGAAATGGATAGTCTATCTGAACTATCCCAGCAAGGCGCCAACCATGTCAATTTTGGCCAGCAGCCGGTCCCAGGGAACACAGCCGAGCAACCTCCATCCCCCGCACAGCTTTCCCATGGCAGCCAGCCCTCTGTCCGGACCCCTCTTCCGAACCTGCACCCTGGGCTTGTATCAACGCCCATCAGTCCTCAGTTGGTCAACCAGCAGCTGGTGATGGCTCAGCTGCTAAACCAGCAGTATGCAGTGAATAGACTTTTAGCCCAGCAGTCCTTAAACCAACAATACTTGAACCATCCTCCCCCCGTCAGCAGATCTATGAATAAGCCTTTGGAGCAACAGGTTTCAACGAACACAGAGGTGTCTTCCGAAATCTACCAGTGGGTACGTGATGAACTGAAACGAGCAGGAATCTCCCAGGCAGTATTTGCACGTGTGGCTTTTAACAGAACTCAGGTTAGTTTTGTTCTGTTTATAAAATGGTTCTTCTCTCTCTCCTTTTTTCTTAGTCGTATATATCCTCATGTTTATGCTTTTACTATATGCTAGCAGTTTAAGTATTTTTTATCATGTGATCATATTGTCTATTCCTGGTAATGCTTCAATTTTATCACTTATCCTCTATCCAGATCACTTGTCTTCCAAGGGAAAGCTATGTACAAATTATTCCAGATTCAGGGGACTTGAAAGAATAAATGATATGAAAAATACTTTATACTGTCATTACTTATGCTTTTTTAGATCATGGATTTGTAGGCTGTTAGCATTAGGTGGTTGAGAAAAGTTCCATGACTTGTGGTGGTATTGCAGGACTCTAGCTATGTTTTTGTGATTCATGTTACCACTTCCAAGGTCTACTATGACAAATGGTGGTTTTAAAGGGCAGAAGTTTATATCTCACAATTCTGGAAGCTAAAATTCAAATCAAGGTCTTGACTGTATTGACTCCTGTCTCTCCTAGTTTCTGGTTGTTGTTGTGAGGTGCCGTCAAGTCAGTTGCAACTCAGCAACTCTGTATAGAGCTTCCAGTGAGCAACTGGTGGATTTGAACCATTGACCTTATGGTTAGCTATCCTCTGCTTGTCCTATAGCACCATGTTGTTGTTGTTGTTGTTTAGTACCATGGAGTCGGTTCTGACTCATAGCGACCCTGTGCAGGGTTTCCGAGGCTGTAAATCTTTACGGGAGCAGAAAGCCTCATCTTTCTCCCACGGAACAACTGGTAGTTTCGAACTGCTGACCTTGATGTTAGCAGTCCAATTCGTAACCACTACGCTACCTGACGGTTGGCAGTTCAAAACTACCAGCTGTTCCTCAGGAGAAAGATGAGTCTTTCTGCTCCTGTAAAGATTTATAGCGTCGGAAACCCTGTGCAGGGTCACTATGAGTCAGACCCGACTCCTTGGCACATAACAATAATAGTACCATACCTGCTGGTAATCCTTGATATTCCTGAGCATGCCCATTCATTCGTTCATCTGCTATGTGCTTCTCAGTGCTGTCTTCCTTCTCTGTGTGTGTGTCCTTGTGTGATGTATGTACTCTTTTAATAATCTTATCACTGAAACTTGATTAGGTTTAAGACCCAACCTACTCTGGTTTCCCCTCAATAACATGACAAAAAAAAAGCTCCTGTGTCCCACCGAGACATATTTATTGGTTTGTTGTTGTTGTTGTTAAGTGCCATCGAGTCAGATCCTACCCATAGCGACCCTGTACAGGGTTTCCAAAGCTGTAAATCTTTACGAGAGCAGAACACCTCATCTTTCTCCCATGGAGCAGCTGGTAGATTCAAACTGCTGAGCGTGAGGTTCGCAGCCCGATTCGTAACCACTACGCTACCAGAGGTGTTAAAATTTTAAAACATATTTTATTCAGGAGGAGGGGGCACACACTTGAATCCCTGACACCACCTGTATAAAATACAAGTATATTCATGTGCTCTGTGGAAGTTATCCTACAATTAAAAAAAACAAAAAACTCTTGGGGATGCATTAGCAATTTCTAGCATTTAACCTTATGTGGCCATTTTGGGAAAACAGTAATATGGCTAATTAGCATAAACTGTTTCTCAGCTTGGCCTTCTCCCACTTTACAGTATTGCTAATATTCTTCCAAACCTCATTCTTTAGAAAAGGGTTATAAATTTTTTCTGCCAAAATTTATAACATCATTCGCAGGCTGTACGAAAATATCAACTTAAAATTTAGCCTGCTCTATGTAGTGGTGGTTGTTAAGTGTCATCCAGTCGGTTCCAACCCATAGCAACCCTATATATGGTTTCTGAGAAGCGGCTGGTGGTTTGAACTGCTGACCTTGTCTTTCAACCTGACCTTGCAGTCTAGTGCATTACCCTGATAAGGATAAGCACTTGGCCTCAAGGTCAGTTTGAACAGCAATGTCAGACCCCATACAGAGTCACTATGAGTAAGAACCAGCTCCAGGGCATGCCGCCACCACCTTAAGGTCTCCTGGATAAGCACTGGACCATAGGGTCATTATGAGTCTGGAGTTGTCTTGATCCACGCAACAACACAGCAACAACATAGAGCCTAACCCTTTTTCTGTAAAGGGCCTAATAATGAATGTTTTAGAGTTTCAAGGCCAGTGAATTGTTTTTACAACATTGAAAGCTATCAGTAACAGCTATTTACAAAATAGGTGATGGGCTAGGTTAGCTCCTATTCTCAGTCTCTCACTGAGATCTGCATATACCCTCATGCTCACACCCTTGTCCTCCTGGGCAAATTCCTATGAAGATATTATCAGCATAGAAGATGTTTTAAAAAGGAATGGAGAAAATCTGATACTTGACAAGTCATAAGATAACAGATATTTGAGAGCTCTAAACACATTTTGATTGTATTACACTGTGAATTTTTTAAAATTCTATGTTGGGAAACAAGCATGATATGTATAGCATGTATTTTTAGCTCAGGTACACTAAAAAAGTAAAGAACATGTAACTTTGATTAGAATGAGGCTATTATGTCTGTTCAACTTCTCTGGTTTACCACTGCCCTTTCTTTTGTGGAGTATCTTTAGGTGGTTTTCGTTTTGTTTTGTTTTGTTTTGTTTTTGCCTGACTTTTATTTTTCTCTCTTATTTAAGTTATTTTGTTATGTGATTACGAGAATAAAATCCTGGTACAAAAATAATCTAGTATTAATTCCTTGTTGGCAGAGTTTCCATACCTAGGAGAGTCCCAGCTGTGATTTATTTTTGGCTTACCTTAACTAGATTGGGAGTTAGGAGACCTGACAAAGCCCTTTACTCGGTGTTGTTTTCAGTTTCTGCCTCTGTTCTTTTGCACGTTATTTGCTTTTAAAAGGATAATGACAGAAGGTTATGTTGCAGGTTTAAAAAATGTATGATTTTACTTCTGAATTTTTATAACTTAAAACAAAAACATCCATTATTAGGTAGTACATACAACACCTGTATTCAGTTGTTTTTGTTAAGTGCTGTTGAGTCAGCTCCGATTCATAGTGACCCTGTACAGGGATTCCGAGGCTTTAAATCTTTAAGGGAGCACAAAGCCTCCTGTTTCTCTCGTAGAAAGGCTGGTGAGCTCGAACTGTGGACATTGTGGTTTCTTGTCCAGTGCTTATCATATGGAGCCCCGCTGCATAGGGTTGGCTCAATTGTTCTTCAGTGGTTGAGCCAGTCTAACTCATAGGGACCCTGCTTAGGGTTTCCAAGGAGAAGCTGGTGAGTTTGAACCACCGACCTTTCCACTCAAACGACCTAGCAGTCCAGTGCTTATCTTATAGATGAATGAATGAATCAAAATCAATCCTCTAGATACTCCTGTTCCTGGTAGCATTGTTAGTTTCTTTTTATAAATAGTGGTGTCAATAATTTTTGTATTGGCTGAGAAATAGATAATCTCTACTCAAAAGTTCAAGAAATATTTGTTGAGTTGAATTAAAAGCCCACAAAGATAATGTTGGAAATATTCACACAGGACATACAGATTTACTGATTAAGCACATTAAAAATGGAGCAAATTGTTATTTCCTGAAGCTAAGGCAAGTTGATAACGCTGAAGACTGGCAATAGAGTTGAGCCTGAGGGAGATGGGGTGAAGTCACCTCCCACCAGAACAGTTTGCCTACTTTCGGGTCATGCTGCTACAGCCATGACTAAGAAGAGTTGGCTGTTTGTTCTGTCTTTGATTCTCACATTGACAAATTCCAGGAATATCTGTAGGATTTGTTACTGGAAGAAAGGCAAGATCCTCTATAAATCACTTTGCAAAGATAGTCATCTCTGTGGTTTTCTGAAAAGAGTTATATGAAAACCTGGTATAGCTTGATACAGAGCCCTGTTAACAATAGCTCACTTAAAAAAAGTCATCTCCAAAACATTAATTGGGGCCCTAAATGATAAAGGGGTTTCATTTTAAACCTTATTTTGGTATATGCAGTACTCCTCAGTCAAAGTAGATGTTGGGCTGTGTTTAAAACTAATTCAAATAAAGAGTAATTTTCTATGTATATAGTGTTCAGTTTTTGAGAAGTAGCTTTTGCACACGCAAGCATGCATGTATTTTGGGTGGTCATACTTAAAATCCAGCACACACACACACGCACACATACACACAGCTGCATTTATTTTAGTGATTATACATTCATATGAATGCATGTAGTGTGTTTATTTCAAAGTGTATGCATTTCAATAAAAGCAGGTGCAGAGTGAGAGTGTATGGTGTGAGTGTGGAGTACGAAAATACACATGCTAATGCATATGTATAGACGAGGAGCTCTGCAGAGTTAAATCGCACATCACACATTTGTGTGCACTTATTACAGTGTGCAATTGCAACCCCAAGTTGAAAAATTCATGCAAAATATGTACATACAAATCAAAGGTATATGATATGATTAGATAAAGTCATCTTATACTATAAGCGGTATGTTAAAACATTAATAGAATACATAATGCTAATACAAGTCAAGAATTTTTAGTCATTGACAGCTCCAGATAACTTGAAAATCCTGGGTTTGATGTTTTAATTCGAAATCAGAGATTTTTCTTATAATCTTAGCAGTGTCTCCTGAATTAAAATGTAACCCTCTTTTAAGACTCACACAGAACTGTTTTTGTGAGGTTTTCTGAAAATGCATGGTGAAGTTTATGTAATTATTTGTTTTAAGAACATTCTCCTCTCTAAATTGATGGGCATAGATGTTCTTCAGATGCTATTGAAAGATCTCACTTTTAGTACATGCCATTCATTCCGTTATTCCTAGTTGATGTCTTTTTAATGGAAACCTATGGCTAAAAATAATTGCTACAGCTTCTAAGATTTACACTTTTCAGTTCACCTCACTGTAATACTGCTATTTAAAGGCTGTGATAGAATAAAATATATTCTTTGGCACTTTTTTTTTTTTTAACAGAAAAACCCAGAGTTTAACTCTGAACCCATTCTATGGCTTTTTTTTCCCGCCCCCTCCTCTTGTCTTTGGCACACTTTATTTTCCAGTAAAATGAAGAATGAAGATGGATTCTTCAAAACTGATAACAGTAATGGACCATCATGTAATGTTTTATTGAATTTGAGTTCTGTAAATTATGTGGTGGAGAGAAATTTGCCTGCTTAAGTATAACAGAAATTGGCTACTGTGTTCCTATAATTCTTCACAGTGTAATTTAAGAAAAGTCCACTATCCATATCAATATTGAATAAAAGGTAAAAAAAGGTGCTATTACCCATCGTGACAGCTCTCGTTTCCCCTACCAAATGACAAAGATAAATGTGTCTGCTTATAACTTACTTGGCATGAGTCCACTGTAGTAGGTGGAGTTTGAAAATAGTCTTTCACCTGGACATGTGATTAAAAATTCACCAAACAACAGAGGCAGGTAGCCTTGAAGGATATTTTATGTATTTTCTTTTTAGAGGGGAGGTTTCATCAAATCGTATTTTCCTTCTGAGAACTTTGAAGTTCCATGAAGCTGATAAAATCTATTTGAATCAGTGATTATGTTCAAAGAGGAGACAAACGGGAGGCCAGACAGGCTTTTTGTTCAGATTGGCAGTCTCTTTCACTTATCTGCTGTTTTTAAAGAATTCATAATTAGCTTTTGGAAGTACTGATAATATTTATTGAAGGCTTTTCTTTCTTTCTTTTACAATTACTAATGAATTTTACTTGTAATAACTTGTAAGCTTTTCTTCTTGGAATGCAAAAAAAAAAAAGGTTTAGGAATTCATTAGTAAATTTCTTTAATTGAAGAAAAAAGTATAATTCTCACTTCACCACTGTGTAGTTGCAATGCAAAGCAATTTTACGTTTTCATACATAGAGAATCCATCTAATTATTTGTAAGATGTGAAATTCCAATGAATGCAGCTATTCATGTCCAATGAAATTATTATGGTGATGTCCTGGTAACTCCCTATGTAAAATACAAGTGATCAAGTTCATCTTTGCAGAAGCAAGAGTGACTATAGCCATGTTGTCTTGTTAAATACTGTCGAGTTGTTTCCAACTCATAGCAACCCTGTATAGGGTTTCCAAAGAGTGACTGGTGAATTTGAACTGCCAACCTTGTGGTTAGTCATCCAATGCTTATCCTAGAGTGTCCCACTAGGACTCCAAATCAGTCACGGTTGTTGGTAGTGGTTTTATGCCACCCAGTCAGTTCCCGCTCTTAGTGACCTTGTGTAGGGTTTCTGATGCTTTAAATCTTTGCAGGAACAGAAAGTCTTGTCCTTCTCCCATGGAATGGCTGATAGATTTGAATCACTGACCTTGAGGTTAGCACCCCAACTCATAACCCACTGTGCTACAAGGGCAACAATATTGATTATATGTTATAATCATAATATTTCAGCATGTTCTAGGAGATGGCAAGTAAGGTATATGAGGTCCTTGAAATACTATTTTTCAGCAAAAAAAATAAAGACTTTAATGGTAAAGGTCCTTCTTAATATCTGCCCATGGAGGATTACAACAAAGAGTTGAACCTAACTTGACAAGTCTACCCTATATTTTCAACAATGGAGAATGGAAAACAGGCCACAACTATCTTGAATCCATAGATAAAGCTATTCCAGTAACAGTGGACTACATAGGACTGAAATACACATTCCCATATTTGAGTTCTGATAATAAACATTTTTCATACAGAATTATTCTAAAGAGATAAATATTTTTTTTAATTAACACACTAATCAAATACTTCCTAACAATATTTTCAAGCATTTCCACCAGGGGGCACTCCCCTCATTGGAAGCTGGGCCAAAAAAAAAAAAACAAAAAACCCCCAAAGGTTTCTAAAACACCTGAGACTGTCTACACTGGCTGCTTTAAGCAGTTCTAGAATATTCAAGAGCTTGAAATATTATTTCAGAACTTCAACATATTCAAGGCAGAAAAACTGCAGTTGATGCATTAAAATAATTCATTTTAAATAGAAATAAAATGCTTTGTCCCTAAAACACTTGTATGCTCAAACAGAAAGTCATGCCAACATTAAAATATGGCTAGAGAGTTTGCTAAATTCTCTGCAGGATGACATGCTGTCTTCTATTTTAATCCATGCAGTGGTGACGTAGTCTCATGTTAGCAATTGCGACTTCAGTGAGAATATCTGTATGAATTATTTCATGTATTTGCTTTTCCTCACTATAGTTCTCTGCTGTATCAAGCAACCTTTTTAATAGAAATATAGGATCTATTACTTCGTTATTTAAAATTTGTGAATGTCTAATTTCACATTTCCCAAATACTGTAATGCTCCATATTGGATCTTTGAACAATTAGCATAGATAAATATCTCACAGAATGCCCCGTAATTTTTCTTTGAAGTTCTATGCTGAGTACTGATGATTACCAAAAGTTTATTCATTGGTAGCATATTTTGTTCCTAAGTTTTGATCATTAGTTTTCAGTATTTTCTTGCTTCTTGTGGGTGGTGTGAATACCTTTAGTGTTAATACATGTAGTAACTACTTATCAAACACTTATATGGTAGACATTGTGCTAGGATGACAAAAATGAATGTTAGGTTATTTTACTCAAAAAAATTGTATTAATAACAAAGGAGCCCTGGTGGCACAATGAGTAAATGCTTAGCTGCTAACCCGAAGGATGGAACTCACCAGTCATTTGGTGGGATAAAAGTCATAATTTGCTACCATAAAGATTCTTGTTGATTGCCTTTGAGTCTGTTCCAACTCATAGCGACCCTGTATAGGGTTTTATAAGAATGACTGATGAGTTTGAACCGCCGATTTTGTGGTTAGCAGTTAAGTGCTTATACTCTGGTACCACACTGTCATAAAGATTACAGCCTAAGAAATCCCATGTGGCAGTTCTTTTCTGCTCTATGGTGCCGCTATGGGTTGGGATTGACTTGTAGGTACATAATAATGATATATTTTTAACATACTGTGGATAATGTGTGTTTGCCTGTCTGTTTCTGTGTAGTTGGTATATTTTGCTTTGCCGTGCACATTTTAAAATACATTTTTAATACACTTTGGAGGTGAAGGATTTTTACCTATCTTGGAATTATTTTTGAGATCTTTACTTTTTGGTTTTAATAAAGGACGTCAAAAACAGTCAACCTAGTTAGTTGGCATTGTGCAAATTAAATAGCTGGGTGATTGTGTGCTTGAATTTTAGTTAAATTGCCTGAATGTTTTGCACTTGTGTAAACGCAACTGCAGCATCACTTTGTCAGTATTACAAATGGAAGGCCTTGTGCCTTTTCATTCTTTAGTCATATCTCTTCCTGATGAAACTGAAAGTTGAGGTCGTTTCCAGATTTTTGGTTTCAGTTTGTTGTTAGTGCGGTCAAGTCGGTTCCGACTCTTAGCGTGTACTGAGTGAAAAACTTTAAAATTGAATCTTAAGTTCCATGAGCCTATTGGAGGTTCTTGTTAAAATACCAGCCTATAATTATGTTTAAGGAGTTCTGGTGGTGTAAAAATTAAGCACTTAAACCTTCTAACCGAAAGGTTGGCAGTTCAGGCTCACTCAGCGGTTCCATGGGAAACAGACCTGGCAGTCTGCTTCAGTAAAAGATTACAACCATGAAAACGCTGTAACACAGTTCTACTTTGTCATATGGGGTTGCTATGAGTCAGAACCCCACTCAGTAGCACCCTCAAACTAGCAATAACAATTTGTTTTTAAAATGGATGATGATTTTATACTGTATGTACCCAACTGTGATATATAGCACAGTCCTACTTACAGTCATCTGCAGGAATCTGTGTGGTGTCCTTTAAATGGAAAGACACACTTGGTGTCCTTGCCTTTAGCACCGTGAAAACTGTGAGACCTGCAACTCAATAGGACTACCTTGTTTTTCCAGGCCTCACAAGTTTTCCACCTTTGGTGGGGTGCAGGCTTACCATTTTCCTATCGTTTTGATGTAAAATATCTGCGTTTTTCTTCAGTGACAGGTTTCCACCTTACACAGGTTGTGGCTTTTGCAGGTTTTACTGTAATTTAATATTAAGGAATAACTTAAAATATTATTTGTGAAAAAACTGCTTTAATCTCTGGTGACATTTTATAGTAGTTGTCTTTGTAAAAATGGGTTATAATTCATTTGTTTTCTTTGGAAGTTCTACATCTCTAGAAAAGGCTTTGTATCTTTACATATTAGACTATTGCCATTCCACTGTCTTTGTCTAGCAAGCTTGAGAAATACACACTTCAATGCTGTTGTATTATGAGGATTTCATTTATTCTTAACATCCCTCGATCGCCTCTCTGTGAAAGATTTCATGGCAAGTTAAGCTACTCAAAGGAAGGAGACCAATTAGGCAGTTTCAGTTTATGTTATATGTAAAGCAGATGCTTAATAAAATTAAGAATACAATTGAGGCTCTCTTCTCTACTACTTCAGTTGTAACTAATATATTCCTATGCAGAATTAATGCCTCTGACTGTTCATTTTCTAAACAGAGTAGAAAAGAAAAGGGAAGAATCACTGATGGCTTCGCAAAGCCCTGGAGCAGGCTTACCCTGTGCATTTCTTTTCCTGCAGGGCTTGCTTTCAGAAATCCTCAGAAAGGAAGAGGACCCCAAAACTGCATCCCAGTCTTTGCTGGTAAATCTTCGGGCCATGCAGAACTTCCTACAGTTACCAGAAGCTGAAAGAGACCGAATTTACCAGGACGAAAGGGAAAGGAGCCTGAATGCTGCCTCCGCTATGGGTCCTGCCCCCCTGATAAGCACACCTCCCAGCCGCCCTCCACAGGTGACGTGGCCCTTTCCACCTTGCTCTTCATTGGCCCTTCTTTTTTATCTTTTTTGCTTGTTTTATGCTTGAGGAAGAATCTCAGCTATAGATGGATGGATAGATTGTTGTATATGTAGGTTTTTTAAAATTATAATTCCATGGAATTGCTTGAGGAGAATTTGATCCCAAGTTGCTAATTCTGATATGAAGATAATAAGCTACTAATTAGAGAAAGGGAATAAAATTGCTTGCGCTTCTTCATTGTATGGTTTCTTTGGGTAGTGGAAGTAATCGTTGAATGAGTTAATAACTACTGTTATCAATGAGCACTGTAGCTCTATAGGATAAGCACTGGACTGCTAACCACAAGATAAAAAGTTTGAGCCCATAATGTGCTCTCTTAGGAGAAAGATGAGTCTAGCTGCTCAGCAACAACAACAACAACATTTGATAAAGATTTACAGCCTCAGAATCCCTATACAGGGTCACTAGGAGTCAGAACCGATTTAATGGCACTTAACAACAACAACCGTTATGAAGTAAAGGAATATTTAAAACCAAATAGGAGAAAAAGTAAAGTCAATTTTATCCCTACTAGTTTAGAACTGTCATTTGAATAGTAAATAAATTAAAAAAAAATAAGTAATTTCATTTGTATTTATGCTTTCCAATACGAACTGCAGCTGGTACCAATTACACATCATCTCGTTTGTAATCTTTCATAATTAAGTTTAATACAATCCTTGAAGGCAGTTTTAAATAGGCCTGATAAGGAATTCTGTCCATATTCCCAGAAATAGGCACCTACTCTATTTTTCCAGATTTTTGCACTTTTTAGAAAGAAGAAAAATCACCTTCCAGGTAACTTTGTATTTGTAACCTATATTATTATTATTTTCTAGTCAACATTTAAAATGTAGTCTGAAGACAGTTATGAGAATTCAAGAAATTACTTTTCAGCGGATACTATTTGATAATGGTTAGGCTCAAAATCCATGTACAAATGTGATTTTTATACATTTAAGTTGTGACATGCACCACTCTTAAAATTAAAATCAGTTATAATTGGATCGGGGTCCTGGTGTGAAGCTGTAGGGTAAGCACTGGACTGTCAACCGCAAGGCTATCGATGAAATAAACCCTATACAGGGCTGCTATGAGTTAGAACTACTCAATGTCACTTAACAGCAGCAACAGAAAACTTGGATAAATATGCAATATAGACTACAAATTCAAAATACAGTATCCATATAATGGTGTCGTCATAAAATGGTTTTGATGTTAATTTCCTTTATCAGTAGTAAAAAAACATCCTACGTTTCCAAGTGTGGCAACACAAAAAAAGAAGTCATTCAACACTAAAGAAAAAGTGGTTACAGATGCTGCATAAATAAGGAATAGAAAAAAACATTCAGCTACTTGCTGAGGACCTTAAACTGCTTATTATACTGTTCTGAAAACATTTTTAAAAGATTTTTAAAGCAATGTCACAACAATTAATCTTAACTTTTATTTAATCAAAATTGTTCAGGTCTTAATGCCTACAGGATCTGATAAGGAAATCATTGCTGTAATTGTGAATAAGAAAGTGATGTTTCTCTAGCAGAAAGGAATAGTTGTGATATACATTCATAGTCACATACCTACACAAAAAAATTCTTGAGTTTGATCTGTAAAATATCTCTGAAGATAAAAATGTGAGGCACTTGTACATGTATGTTTGTGTGTGTGCATATAAATATCCAAACCAAACCTGTTGCTGCCCATTTGATTCTGAGACATAAAGAGTAGATCAGCCCCATAGGAGTTCGAAGTTCATAATGTTTACTGAAGCAGACTGCCACACCTTTCTCCTGCAGAGCAGGTAGGGGGTTCAAGCCACCAACCTTTCAGTTAGCCCATCACTTAACAACTATGCCACCATGGAGCTTTATACACACACACACATACACATGTATTTATGTCATGAGTTGAACTATTGTTGTTATGTGCCGTGGAGTCGGTTCCAACTCATAGCGACCCTGTTCAGAGTTTCCGAGGCTGTCCATCTTTACAGGAGCAGAAAGCCTCATCTTTCTCATGCAGAGCAGCTGGTAGTTTCGAACTACTGACCTTGTGGTATATACCCCCCCCTAAAGTAATTGATAACTTGATAGGCTCATGATTCTCAGTGGTTTGGGATGTAATCATCCCTTATGTTGTGATCGGGTATGATCAGCCAGTCAATTGTGAGGGGATTAGGGTGGGATGCAACACCTTTACTTAGGTCATAGCCTTGATCTGCTCCACTGTAGGGGAGTTTCTGTGAGTATGGCCAGCATCACCTTTTATCTTAAAAAAGATTAAAAAGAGAGAAGCCAGCAGAGATGAATTTACCTCAGTACCACTAAGAAAGAATCAGAAGTGGAGCACATCCTTTGGGCCCGAGTTTCCTGAATTGACACCACTTAGACTCTGGAGGATGCCAAGACATATGGAGATCTGTAAGGAGTATTGGGCCCACAGATACAGAAAGGAGACAAGGACCTTCTCCCAGAACTGATAGAGAAAGAAAGCCTTCCCCTAGAGCTTATAGCCTGAATTCAGATTTCTGGCTTCCTAAATTGTGAGAGAATAAAAGTCAGTTAAAGCATGTGGTGTTTCTGTTATAGCAGCACTAGATAACTAAGATAGACTTTGATTCCTCCACAAGAGTGGTGGTGGTGGTGGTTATGTGCCGTTGGGTCGATTCCGACTCATCACGATCCTATGTAAGGTTCCCAAGGCTGTAAATCTTTATGGGAGCAGAAAGCTTCATCTTTCTCCCGTGGAACAGTTGGTAGTTTCAAACTGCTGAGCTTTCAGCTTGCAGCCCGATTCGTAACCACTATACTACCAGAGCTCCGGGACCTGATAACTGAAATGTGGAAGTGGTTTTGGAATTGAGTAATGGGTAGAGGCAGGAAGCGTTTTAAGGTACCTAATAATAGGCTTCAATAATATAACTCTAGATTGCCTTGAAGAGACTGTAGGTAGAATTATGGCCATCAGAAAAAAATTCTGGTGAGTACTCAGAAGGAAGCGAAGTACTGTAATACCAGCAACGGCACAGATGGTGAGAAGCAGCAGCAGATGAACTGTGCAGCAGAACCTGGAGGCTGCATGGAGGCTGACCCCAGTAGATAGAGAGAGCTGAGTGCCTTCGGGCAGGAAAATTCCAGACACAGAAAGAAACCCTTCTCTTAGAGGTGACGTTCTGAATTAAAACTTCTAGCTTCCTAAACTGACTAAATATCTGCTTGTGAAAGCTTGTGGTATCTCTGTAGTATCTCTGTTTATACATACATACATATATATATATATATATATATAACCTAGTGCTGCTTTTAACAGATATTTATATGTCTGACTTTTATAAGAATGATTCAATTTTAAAAAAGCAACAAAAGAGAACAAAGAAGATGGTGGAAAGGGTAGACATGCAGTAATTCCTTTAGCAACAACACAGAATACCGGACCAAGCAGCCTCACAGGCTGGTCCCAGAACTCTGAACCACATATAAATGACTATTTAGAAGGTTGGAAGGCTTACAGCTAGGGGAATTTGTAGCAGAAGCAAGCAATCCATTGCTTTCTAATCCAACATGCTCAGCTGCTCTCCAAGCCGGCATCATGGGTGAGACCGAACAAGGGAAGGATCAGAGCAGCCACGGACACCTGACAGAACTGTGGAGATAAAGGTGTGGACATTCTTTTTTGTGTGTCATTGGTTTGTCATTGGCTGTGCACCTCCATTTTGGTGACTAGAGGGGGTGCCTGAGCGAGTGGACACTCCACCTCCCCACCTGGAGGGTTCACTACACATGTGCAGAGATCTCCACAAAATTTAAAGTGACAATTTCCACTTAAAACCAAATGGCAGTGCAAAACGGCCACAGCCGGCCCTGAACTGTTCAGCACTAGGAAAAAGGCCTGAACAGGAATTATGGAGTGGGACAGGCAGACTAAAAGGGAAATAGGTTGAAAATTAAACCCTGAGTTACATCATAGTGACCAACGGTGACATCTTGAAATTTCTTAGGAGGAGTGAAAAGGGAAGCCCGTTTCCTGATCACATCTACCTGGAGGCAATCAGAAAGCATAAAAAATACCAAAATAAACACCCATCTAAGTATTAAGGCCACAGCTAATCCCTGAATATGCCTGAAAAACAGAAGCAGATGACTATGTCAGCACATGTCCAGAAACGAGATAAAGTGACTGAGACAAATGAGCTGGAAGTAGACCTACACTCCATACTGGAAGGAGGGCAGGCTTTGGAAATGCCTGAGAAGGAATTCAGAAAAATGATTATAAAATGTATCAAAACACTATACAATGGAGTTGAGAGAAATAAGGAAGAAGTCAGGAAAGTGCTACAGGAACAATCAAATAAGATATACAGCATTGGAAACAATTCAAAACCTACAGAAAGAGGTCCAAACAATTAATAATAGAATAGCAGAAATGGATGATACACTGAAAGGGCAAAGGAGTAGAATTGAAGAGATAGAAGCCAGAACTAGTGAGCTAAAAGATAAATCTCTCAACACTACTAAGATAGAAAAGCAAACACAAAAGAGGATTTTAAAAAATCTGAAGAAAGCTTAAGATTCACATTGGACAACATGAAGAGGATATAACTTACGAAGTATCAGCATTTTAGAACAGGAAGAATCACACAAGTCCATAGAAGAGATAGTTGAAGAGTTTCTAAAAGAAAATTTTCCTAACATCCTGAAAAGCGTAAGGATAAGCATTCAAGAAGTTCAACGAACCCCAAGAAGGATAGACCCTAAAAGACAATCACCAAGACATATTTTATAATCAGGCACTCCAAAATCAGAGATAAGGACAAAATCCAGAAAGCAGCTAGGGAAAAGAGACGTATAACATACAAAGGTAAGCAAATCAGATAAAGCTCGGATCTCTCAACAGAAACCATGCAGGCAAGAAGGCAATGGGGAGACATATATAAAACCCTGAAAGAAAACAAAACA